GTGGAGGTGTAGGAGGTGTGGAGGTGCGGAGGTGTGGAGGTGCGGAGGTGTAGGAGGTGCGGAGGTGTGGAGGTGTGGAGGTGTGGAGGTGTAGGAGGTGTGGAGGTGTAGGAGGTGTGGAGGTGTAGGAGGTGTGGAGGTGTGGAGGTGTAGGAGGTGTGGAGGTGTAGGAGGTGTAGGAGGTGTGGAGGTGTAGGAGGTGTGGAGGTGTAGGAGGTGTAGGAGGTGTGGAGGTGTAGGAGGTGTGGAGGTGTAGGAGGTGTGGAGGTGTAGGAGGTGTGGAGGTGTAGGAGGTGTGGAGGTGTGGAGGTGTAGGAGGTGTGGAGGTGTAGGAGGTGTGGAGGTGTAGGTGTGGAGGTGTGGAGGTGTAGGAGGTGTGGAGGTGTAGGTGTGGAGGTGTAGGAGGTGTGGAGGTGTGGAGGTGGAGGTGTGGAGGAGGTGTGGAGGTGTAGGAGGTGTGGAGGTGTAGGAGGTGTGGAGGTGTAGGAGGTGTAGGAGGTGTGGAGGTGTGGAGGTGTAGGAGGTGTGGAGGTGTGGAGGTGTGGAGGTGTGGAGGTGTGGAGGTGTGGAGGTGTGGAGGTGTAGGAGGTGTAGGAGGTGTGGAGGTGTGTAGGAGGTGTAGGAGGTGTAGGAGGTGTGGAGGTGTAGGAGGTGTAGGAGGTGTGGAGGTGTGGAGGAGGTGTGGGTGTAGGTGTAGGAGGTGTGAGGTGTGGAGGTGTGGAGGAGGTGTGGAGGTGGAGGTGTGGAGGTGTGGAGGTGTGGGAGGTGTAGGAGGTGTAGGAGGTGTGGAGGTGTGGAGGTGTAGGAGGTGTGGAGGTGTAGGTGGTGGAGGTGTGGAGGTGTAGGAGGTGTAGGAGGTGTGGAGGTGAGGTGTAGGAGGTGTGGAGGTGTGGAGGTGTAGAGGTGTGGAGGTGTAGGAGGTGTGGAGGTGTGGAGGTGTAGGAGGTGTGGAGGTGTGGAGGTGTAGAGGTGTGGAGGTGTAGGAGGTGTGGAGGTGTAGGAGGTGTGGAGGTGTAGGAGGTGTAGGAGGTGTGGAGGTGTAGGAGGTGTAGGAGGTGTAGGAGGTGTGGAGGAGGTGTGGAGGAGGTGTAGGAGGTGTGGAGGTGTGGAGGAGGTGTGGAGGTGTAGGAGGTGTGGAGATGTAGGAGGTGTGGAGGTGTGGAGGAGGAGGTGTGGAGGTGTGGAGGTGTAGGAGGTGTAGGAGGTGTGGAGGTGTAGGTGGGAGGTGTAGGAGGTGTGGAGGTGTGAGGAGGTGGGAGTGGAGGTGTGGAGGTGTGGAGGTGTGGAGGTGTGGAGGTGTGAGGTGTAGGAGGGTGGGAGGTGTAGGAGGTGTGGAGGTGTGGAGGAGGTGTGGAGGTGTAGGAGGTGTAGGAGGTGTGGAGGAGGTGTGTGGAGGTGTAGGAGGTGTGGAGGTGTGGAGGTGTAGGAGTGTGGAGGTGGTGGAGGTGTGGAGGTGTAGGAGGTGTAGGAGGTGTAGGAGGTGTGGAGGTGTGGAGGTGTGGAGGTGTAGGAGGTGTGGAGGTGTGGAGGTGTAGGTGTGAGGTGTGGAGGTGTAGGAGGTGTGGAGGTGTGGAGGTGTGGAGGTGTGGAGGTGTAGGAGGTGTGGAGGTAGTGAGGTGTAGGAGGTTGTGGAGGTGTAGGAGGTGTAGGAGGTGTGGAGGAGGTGTGGAGGTGTGGAGGTGTGGAGGTGTAGGAGGTGTGGAGGTGTAGGAGTGTGGAGGTGTAGGAGGTGTGAGGAGGTGTGGGAGGTGTGGAGGAGGTGTGGAGGTGTAGGAGGTGTGGAGGTGTAGGAGGTGTGGAGGTGTGGAGGTGTGGAGGTGTAGGAGGTGTGGAGGTGGGAGGTGTGAGGTGTGAGGAGGTGTAGGAGGTGTGGAGGTGTAGGAGGTGTAGGAGGTGTGGAGGTGTAGGAGGTGTGGAGGTGTGGAGGTGTAGGAGGTGTAGGAGGTGTAGGAGGTGTAGGAGGTGTAGGAGGTGTAGGAGGTGTAGGAGGTGTAGGAGGTGTGGAGGTGTAGGAGGTGTAGGAGGTGTAGGAGGTGTAGGAGGTGTGGAGGTGTGGAGGTGTAGGAGGTGTAGGAGGTGTGGGAGGTGTAGGAGGTGTAGGAGGTGTGGAGGAGGTGTGTGAGGAGGTGTGGAGGTGTGGAGGTGTGGAGGTGTAGGAGGTGTAGGAGGTGTGGAGGTGTGGAGGTGTGGAGGTGTGTGGAGGTGTAGGAGGTGTGGAGGTGTGTGTAGGAGGTGTAGGAGGTGTGAGGTGTGGAGGTGTAGGAGGTGTGGAGGAGGTGTGGAGGTAGTGTGGAGGTGTAGGAGGTGTAGGAGGTGTAGGAGGTGTGGAGGTGTAGGTGTAGGAGGTGTAGGAGGTGTAGGAGGTGTGGAGGTGTAGGAGTGTGGAGGAGGTGTGGAGGTGTGGAGGTGTGGAGGTGTGGAGGTGTGGAGGTGTAGGTGTAGGAGGTGTGGAGGTGTAGGAGGTGTAGGAGGTGTGGAGGTGTGGAGGTGTGGAGGAGGTGTGGAGGTGTGGAGGTGGAGGGTGTAGGTGTGGAGGTGTGGAGGTGTGGAGGTGTAGGAGGTGTAGGAGGTGTAGGAGGTGTAGGAGGTGTAGGAGGTGTAGGAGGTGTGGAGGTGTAGGAGGTGTAGGAGGTGTGGAGGTGTGGAGGTGGAGGTGGAGGTGTGGAGGTGTAGGAGGTGTAGGAGGTGTGGAGGTGTAGGAGGTGTGGAGGTGTAGGAGGTGTAGGAGGTGTAGGAGGTGTAGGAGGTGTAGGAGGTGTAGGAGGTGTAGGAGGTGTGTGTAGGAGGTGTGGAGGTGTGGAGGTGAGTTGTGGAGGTGTGAGGAGGTGTAGGAGGTGTGTGGAGGTGTAGGAGGTGTGGAGGTGTAGGAGGTGTAGGAGGTGTGGAGGTGTGGAGGTGTAGGAGGTGTAGGAGGTGTAGGTGTAGGAGGTGTAGGAGGTGTAGGAGGTGTAGGAGGTGTAGGAGGTGTAGGAGGTGAGGTGTAGAGGTGTAGGAGGTGTAGGAGGTGTGGAGGTGTGGAGGTGTGGAGGTGTAGGAGGTGTAGGAGGTGTAGGAGTGACAGAGCGCAGGGAGGAGGGGCAGAAAAAAAGGTGTTACCCTGGAAATCTGCCGTATATTTACTCTACATTATATTTACTCTACTCACAACAACTTAGGGATATAGAGACTTTGCACCGTCACATGATCCTACAGCAACAGTATCTACGCCACCATGACACCAGACACACTATGTCACTATGTCACTGACTTCAGCAGCATCAGAGAAACACGGGCAGGTTTTGTTGTGTATTTGGTTGTTCTGGAGCACAGGTGTCAAACATACGGCCCGGGGGCCAGATCCGGCCCTCCAAGACCTTTAATGTGGCCCTCGGGTGATTTTCTACTCAAATATTTTAATGATATTTTCTATTAAAATGTTGTTAATTTTCTGTGGTGTTTATCACAGCAGCGTCTCCAGCGTCTCTGTACGTGGCCCCTCCCACCAGAGCAGCACAAATGAAGACTTGTCTCTTTCCAAACGCTCTTAAAGGACGATCGTTTTGACTGTTGACCGTGACACCCTCATCAGAAAAATGTCCAACATGAGAAAAGTGGAGCCGAGTGCAGGATTTTACAACAAAAATTGACTTATTCCTGTTTACAGACAAGTTCATGTTCAAACTTTGTGTTGAAATTGTATTTTTCTTAAAGTTTCAGGTTGTTCATAATATTATAATATTTTGTAAAAGAAAGAGTTCATCAATTCAAAAAGATTTGTGTAATAGATTTGTGTTTCTCTGCACAAATATTTGAACTTATTGTTATTTTTGGGGTTTATATGACATGAGTTTTCTGATCCGGACACTTTGGATCAAAGTCGGTTGGACACGACCCCGGAACAAAATGAGTCTGACACTCCTGTTCTAGAAGCTCTGAAAGGGAAAAAACGATTCGTTTCTTCACTGTTCCTCTGGAAATGACTCATCAGGATCAAACAAGGAAATTATCCAAAAAAAGATGGGAATTATGTCTAGAGAACAAAAACCACGAAGAGATTTCCAATGGTCCCATCAAGACACACTCACGTCACTTTCATCAAGATATTTACTATTTAAATAGTTTCATAGTTTATTTAATGAGAGAAGCACATTTACTGAACTAAAATGTAAAAAGAAAACATTTGCAGTGTGAGTGTGAGTAGAAACTGTATGTTCCAGCACATATAAACATGTCACTCGTCGTAGGACCATGTTTTCTTTATTGTCTTGTTTATCCACAACTTTGTCTTCTAGAATTAATCTCTTTTTGTGAGTGGATCTTTGTAATGTCGCGAGGATCTTTTCATGGTCGATTCTTTCGAGGTTCGACTCACAGACTCTTCGACTCGTGCGTCGTGTTGATCACAGGAGCCAGTGTGGGTTCGTTGAATCGTAAACTAGTGCAGGTTTTCCTCCATAAATTAATAACATTTTAGTTCAGTAAATGTGCTTCTTTCATTAAATAAACTATGAAACAATTTAAATAGTAAATACCTTGATGAAACTTCGAGTGTCTTGATGGTACAATAGGAAATCTCTTCGTGGTTTATGTCTCTAGACATAATCTGCGTCTTTTTTTTTTGATAATTCCCTTGTTTGATCCTGATGAGTCATTTCCAGAGGAACAGTGAAGAAACGATTTGTTTTATCCATTTCAGAGCTTCTAGAACAACCAAATACACAACAAAACCTGCCCATGTTTCTCCGACGCTGCTGAAGTCAGTGACATAGTGACACAGTGTGTCTGGTGTCATGGCGGCGTAGGTACTGTTGCTGTAGGGTCACGTGACGGTGCAAAGACTCTATTGTTATTTACATGAGTGCTTTTCCTATTTGGTCTGAATTTTAATGAAATAAGTAAAAGTTTCCTTTGATATTACTAATAATGAATGAGAAGAAACACCATTTTCATTAGTTTAATATTTATTACCCCCAAAATTTAGACAATAACAAGTAACACAAATGAACAATGTCTGTAGTGGGTGTTTCCACCTTTTGCCGTAATGTCAACTTGACAGCGACGTCTCATGCTCCTCACAAACCTCAGGATGTTGTTCTGAGGCAGTGTGTTCCACTCTTCCACCAGTGCTACACACGGTTCTGTCAGGTCATGTGGGGGTGGGGTATGATCGTCCAGTCTCTGCTTCAGCTGGTCCCAGACGTGCTCTGTGGGGTTCAGGTCAGGGGGCAGTGCTGGTCGTACCATGTGAGGCACTCTGACCTCCTGAAGACGACCTGTGACAATTCTGGCACGATGTGGTGGAGCATTATCATCCATGAACAGAAAGTTGGGGGTTTGCTGGCGGAACTGGGGATGGTGATGGGTTCTGTGAAGTCTCTGAGGTAAGAACGTGCAGTGACTGAGCCATCGACAGTAACCACATCTGTTTTGCTCTGACTGGTGATGCCTGCCCAGACTGTTGCACCTCCTCCACCAAACTGAACCCTGAGGACCATGTTGACCTCGGCGTGTCGCTCACCTCACCTTCTCCAGCAACACTGACGATCATCATTTCTGTGCTAAGTGACCCGACACTCATCAGTGAACAGGACGGTGGACACTGCTGCATTGTCCAGGTCACATGGTCTCGTGTCCACTGCAAACGTTCACGGCGGTGACTTGATGTCAGTGGAGTCACCTGCAACGGTCGTCTGGCATTCAAGCCAAAGTGGTGGAGTTGGTTGCGAATGGTTTGTCTGGAAACCCTAGTGCCCCTCACATCTCGTGAAGGAGCCTGCAGCTGTGTGGCAGTTGCATAACGATGTCTGAGTGCACAGGTCCTTAGGTACTGGTCATCGTTGTGGTCTGTCACTCATGAGGCTCCTCTCCTGGGTCCGTCACCAACTCTGCCAGTCGTTCTGTGTGTTGATGCAAGTCTGCTGATGACACTTTGAGACACACCGAGTTCACGAGCAACATCTGCCTGCCTGCCACACCCCTCGAAGACGCGCTCTGGCTAAGTGCTGCTCCTCCGTTAAGTGACGTCGTGTGTTCACGGCCGTTTGAATTGTGAACTTGGAATGACTTGACAATACCAGCTTTTTATACCCACAGAATGTTGAAATTTATGCCACATTGAAAAGGGGTTTGGCCCCAATATGTAAGACACACTGTCCACAGTGAGACTATTACGTGAAAAACCCAAAATGAGGTGTGTCTATCACCCCAATACAAATGCCTCCCTATCCCAAAAATGTCTGAAGTGAAAGAAACACGTATATATGACATTTACTGACTCTCTCACAATATCCCTAACTTATTGTGAGAAGTGTGGATATATATGTACACAATGATCTATAGTGTCAGAAAACTCTAAGGCTACGTTCAGACTGCAGGGCTTAATACTCAATTCCGATTTTTTTGTGAAATCCGATGTTTTTGCGAGGTCGTTCACATTTCCAATTAAATGCGACTTGTCTGTGACTCCAGTGTGAACGGTAAACGGCCCGAAAGTGTCCCACATGTGACACTGGAGACACGATGACGTCAACCGCAGCGAGCGTCTCTGTGTTTATGGAAGTTGTCCAAACATGGACGCAGCATCGAGCACCTGGAGATTTTACAGTTCCGGTTTCCGCCTGCTTCAGCGCAGAATAGTGACGTTTGTGTCTTGTTGATGACGTGTAGGTGGATGAATGTGACCTGACCGTTCACACTGAAGTCACATGTTAAAGATCAGATATGGATCAGTTTCAGGAGCACAGATCCAAGTGTCCTGGGTCACATTTGAAAACATTTGATCTGTGCCATTCAGACGTCATTAAAAGATCAGATACAGGAACATAGAGACAAAAAATCGGATTTGGGTCACTTCAGGTGCAGTCTGAACGCAGCCTAAGTCTGTTCAGCTTCTTAAATCTGCGCTGGTTTAACGTGAAGCTCCCTGAACTTTCTGAGGCGTCACAGTCGGAGCTCTGTCCTCGTCTGAACCACAGAAACACACGTCTGGTTTTCACGATCGTACAATGTCAAATATGAAAAATAAAGAATAAATCCTGATCGTTATAACTTCACGAACTGGAGCTGATGAAGACGCTTTTGTTCTTGGAAAAGTCCGAAGGTGCTACAGGAGGACACAGGTGGGCGACGGTTTGGACTTCATCACGTCCATCAGGCTGAGGTGGGCGGGGTTAAACTGCTGCAGCTCCGCCCCCTGTTGGCCGTGGCCCCGCCCCCGCTCCTCGGGGTCGACGGGGTCATCGGGGTCGGGGTCGCGGGCGTCGCCGGTGTGGGACGTGACCCTGTACTGCGCCCGCACCGTCCTCAGCGGGTTGTAGTCGGGGCTGATGTGGTCGGGGCACCTGAAGCTCTCCCTGATGATCGTCCCCTGTCTGGACAACGCCACGAAACCGTTCCTGAAGGAAACCATCCGCACCACGGGAAAGTACACGAACTGAACCAGGAGGAGCTTCCCTGAGGACACGCAGGGACAGAAAGAACAAGGACATAAGGACATATGAAGAGCAAGGACATAAGGACATACTGTATGAAGGACACAAACTGCACCAGGAGGAGCTTCCCTGAGGACACGCAGGGACAGAAAAGGACAACAAGGACATAAGTACATAAAAAGGACACGAACTGAACCAGGAGGAGCTTCCCTGAGGAGAGACAAGGACCAAAAAGAACAACAAGGACATAAGAACATATAAGAATGATGAAGGACACAAGTTGCACCAGGAGGAGCTTCCCTGAGGACACATGAAGACAGAAAGAACAAGGACATAAGGACATAAGGACATATAAGGAACAGGGACATATGGACTATGAAGAACAAGAACTGCATCAGGAGGAGCTTCCCTGAGGACATGCAAGGACCAAAAAGGACAACAAGGACATAAGAACATATAAGGAACAAGGACATAAGGACGATGAAGAAGACAAACTGCATCAGGAGGAGCTTCCCTCAGGACACGCAGGGACAGAAAACGACAACAAGGACATAAGGACATAAGAAGAACAAGGACAGCAGGAGCTTCCCTGAGGAGAGACAAGGACCAAAAGAACGACAAGGACATAAGGACATAAGGACAATGAAAGACACAAACTGCACCAGAAGAAGCTTCCCTGAGGACACACAAACACAAAAAGAACAAGGACATAAGGATATAGGAATGTTGAAGGAACAAGGACATAAGGACATAAGGACATATAAGAATGATGAAGGACACAAGTTACACCAGAAGGAGCTTCCCTGAGGAGACGCAAGGACAGAAAAGGACATAAGGACATGTAAGAAACAAGGATATAAATATGATGAAGGACATGAACTGCACCAGAAGAAGCTTCCCTGAGGACACACGAGGACAAAAAGAACAAGGACATAAGGACATAAAGACATATAAGGAACAAGGACATAAGGACATAGGAACATTGAAGGAACAAGGACATAAGGACATATAAGAATGTTGAAGGACACAAGCTGCACCAGGAGGAGGTTCCCTGAGGACACGTGAAGACAAAAAAGGAGCAACAAGGACATAAGAAGGACACATAAGGACATATGAAGTAACTGAAGTTCTCCAGGAGTTTTCACACATGGACCTTCTGTCCCACAGACGCCTTCAGACTTTGAGCGACTTCATTAAAAATGTAAATAAGAGTAGGTTCTTCTGCTCTCCCCCTGAGCCTGAGTCTCCGGTTCTCCTGCTTCTTGGTCCTTTTCCATGTGGAGACTCCTCAGACTTAGATGGTCCTACCTCAGCTCCTCCTCTGCCCCCCTGTGTCTGCTCCTCCCTCTCCTCCGGTTCTCCTGGTTCTTGGTTCTTCAGTAGAGACTTCCCAGACTTTGATGGTTCTCCTCCTCCTACGCTCTGCTCTCCTGTGTCTGACCCTCCCTCCTCCTGGTTCCTCTGGTTCCTGTTCCTTTTATCTGTGGAGATCTCCCCACACTTTGATGGTTCTGTTTCTGCTCTTCCTCCTCCTCCTGACCCTCCCTCTCCTGGTTCCTTTGGTTCTCCTGGTTCTTTGGTTCTCCTGGTCCCTTTGGTTCCTCTGGTTCTTTGGTTCTCCTGGTCCTTTGGTTCTTTGGTTCTCCTGGTTCTTTGGTTCTCCTGGTATCTTTGGTTCTCCTGGTTCTTTGGTTCTCCTGGTTCTTTGGTTCTCCTGGTTCTTTGGTTCTCCTGGTTCTTTGGTTCTCCTGGTTCTTTGGTTCTCCTGGTTCTTTGGTTCTCCTGGTTCTTTGGTTCTCTTTTTTTGGTTCTCCTGGTTCTCTCCTGGTTCTTTGGTTCTCCTCTTTGGTTCTCCTGGTCCCTTTAGTTCTCCTGGTTTCTTTGGTTCTCCTGGTTCTTTGGTTCTCCTGGTTCTTTGGTTCTCCTGGTTCTCTTACCTGTGGAGACCCCCCACACTTTGATGGTTCTGTCTCTGGAGCCGGTGAACACAAACTGGTCGCTGTCGGAGAACGCGGCGCAGAGAACTCCCTCGAAGAAGAAACCCTGGAACAAGAACATGAGTTTAACAAACATTTAAGACAAATACTGTAGATATTCTAAACCAGGTCTAAACCAGGTCTAAACCAGGTCTAAACCAGGTCTAAACCAGGACTAAACCAGGTCTAAACCAGGTCTAAACCAGGACTAAACCAGGTCAAACCAGGTTAAACCAGGACTAAACCAGGTCTAAAACCAGGACTAAACCAGGTCTAAACCAGGACCAGGTCTAAACCAGGACTAAACCAGAAACCAGGTCTAAACCAGGTCTAAACCAGGACTAAACCAGGACTAAACCAGGTCCAGGTAAACCAGGACTAAACCAGGACTAAACCAGGTAAACCAGGACTAAACCACCAGGTAAACCAGGTCTAAACCCAGGACTAAACCAGGTCTAAACCAGGACTAAACCAGGTCTAAACCAGGTAAACCAGGTCTAAACCAGGACTAAACCAGGACTAAACCACCCAGGACTAAACCAGGACTAAACCAGGTCTAAAACCAGGACTAAACCAGGTCTAAACCAGGACTAAACCAGGTAAAACCAGGACTAAAGGTCTAAACCAGGTCTAAACCAGGACTAAACCAGGACTAAACCAGGTCTAAACCAGGACTTAACTAAACCAGACTAAACCAGGACTAAACCAGGTAAACCAGGTCTAAACCAGGACTAAACCAGGACTAAACCAGGACTAAACCAGGACTAAACCAGGACTAAACCAGGACTAAACCAAGAGTAAAACAAGACTATTAAGAATTAAAACCTGACCTGAGCCAATATTGAACAAGAACTAACCCAGGACTTCACTATAACTAACTGAAGTCTAAACTTGGTCTAATTCCGGTCTTGGTCTGGCCCCTGTCTAGCCCCGGTCTCTGTTTTGGTCTGGTCTGGGTCTTGGTCTGGTCTGGGTCTTGGTGTTGGTCTGGGTCTGGTCTCGGTCTTGGTCTGGTCTTGGTCTGGTCTTGGTCTTGGTCTGGTCTTGGTCTTGGTCTCGGTCTCTGTCTGGGTCTGGGTGGTACCTTGTAGTCCATGACGTGCTGCAGGCGCGGCGGGTTCAGCGTGTACAGTCTCTGGGTGGTGTCGTCGGAGCCGATCAGGACGTGACTCTCCCAGTTACTCAGAGTCACACACGACACGCGGCTCCGGTGAGACTCCAGAACCCGACCAGAACCCGACCTGAAGTCATGGACTCGGACCTCGCCACAGCTCGTCCCGTAGATGAACCTTCAGATACAAAAAGACCAAAAGACCGGGGTTAGACCGAGAGACCAACAGAAAAAGAGACCGAGACCGGGGTTAGACCTGGTTCAAATCTGGTCTTGTCCTGGTCTCACCTCTGGTCTAGTCCTGGTCTCACCTCTGGTCCCTTTCTGGTCTAATCCTGGTCTCACCTCTGGTCCTGTCCTGGTCCAGTCCTGGTCTCAACCTCTGGTCATTGAGCAGGCAGCAGCAGGTCAGAGGTTCATGCAAGAGGCCGGGGATGAGTTTGGTCTAGTCCTGGTCTGGTCTGGTCCTAATCTGGTCCCGGTCTCACCTCTGGTCGTTGAGCAGGCCGCAGCAGGTCAGAGGTTCATGCAGGAGGCCCAGGACGAGTCTGGTTTAGTCCTGGTCTTGTACCTGGTTTAGTCCTGGTCTGGTCCTGGTCTGAGCCCTGGTCCTGGTCTGGTCCTGGTCCAGTCCCGGTCCCGGTCTCACCTCTGGTCGTTGAGCAGGCCGCAGCAGGTCAGGGGTCCGTGCAGGAGGCCCAGGACGAGTCTGGCGGTGGGGCCCTCGATGGCGGGGAGCAGGTCTCTGGAGGTCAGGGTGAAGACGCAGACCTGGTCCTCGTAGGCGACGCTCAGGAGCCGCTCGCTGGGACTCAGGGCCAGAGTCCGGACCGGACTCAGACTCTCGGGCGGCGGGATGCACAGGGTCTCCTCGGGCTGCGACAGGGGGTAGACGAAGACCGTCCCACTCACCAGACCGCAGACGAGCAGACGCTTCACCTGCCCCACCTCCAGACACGACACCGCCACCGACACCGCCATGCGCTCCGTGACCCCGCCTACAGAGACCAAGACCAAGACCGAGGTCAGACCAGACACAAGACCAGACACGACACCGACACCGCCATGCGCTCTGTGACCCCGCCTACAGAGACCGAGACCAAGACCGAGGTCAGACCAGACACAAGAGACCAGACACGACACCGACATGCGCTCTGTGACCGCTCCGTGACCCCGCCTACAGAGACCGAGACCAAGACCGAGGTCAGACCAGACACAAGACCAGACACGACACCGACACCGCCATGCGCTCTGTGACCCCGCCTACAGAGACCGAGACCGAGAGACCGAGACCAAGACCGAGGTCAGACCAGACACAAGACCGCCACCGCCATGCGCTCTGTGAAGGTCCATTCAGGCGCAGCATCAAAAAACACTCTGGAAGCTTCTAGTTGGAGCCTTTGTGTTTGAGTTCAGACTCAACGTGCCTCTTGGACAAATGAGAGAAAAATACTTGACGCTTCCAGTACGTCCGTCACCCTGGAAACAAGTTCCATTTCCCATATTCTCCCGGACGATGGACCAGACTGAGACCCTGTTTACACTAAAACAAACCTGTGTGTCACTGTGTGACTGTGTCACTGTGTGACTGTGTCACTGTGTGACTGTGTCACTGTGTGACTGTGTGACTGTGTCACTGCTGTGTCACATCGATTTGTGTCCAGACACGTTTCTCTGTCCACACAGATTCAAGCAGATTTGTTTACATTTTACAGAAACAAAACTTAAAACCACAAGATTCATTTGAATCAACTGAGCCTCAAAAAAACACTTGTGGTTCAGTTTGTGTTGGACTAAAAGACACAGCGACTCATATGAGTGTTCTCTCTGTGTCAGAGGGGTGTTCTCTCTGTGACAGAGGGGTGTTCTCTCTCTGTGTGTCTCTCTGTGTCAGAGGGTGTTCTCTCTGTGTGACAGAGGGGTGTTCTCTCTGTGACAGTGACAGAGGGGTGTTCTCTCTGTGTGACAGAGGGGTGTTCTCTCTGTGTGACAGAGGGGTGTTCTCTCTGTGTCAGAGGGGTGTTCTCTCTGTGTGACAGAGGGGTGTTCTCTCTGTGTGACAGAGGGGTGTTTCTCTCTGTGTCAGAGGAGTGTTCTCTCTGTGACAGAGGGGTCTCTCTCTGTGACAGAGGGGTGTTCTCTCTCTGTGTCAGAGGGGTGTTCTCTCTGTGTGACAGAGGGGTGTTCTCTCTGTGAGAGGGGTGTTCTCTGTGTGACAGAGGGGTGTTCTCTCTGCGTCAGAGGGGTGTTCTCTCTGTGTCAGAGGGGTGTTCTCTCTGCGACAGAGGGGTGTTCTCTCTGTGTCAGAGGGGTGTTTCTCTCTGTGTGTCAGAGGGGTGTTCTCTCTGTGACAGAGGGGTGTTCTCTGTGACAGAGGGGTGTTCTCTGTGTGACAGAGGGGTGTTCTCTCTGTGTGACAGAGGGGTGTTCTCTCTGTGTCAGAGGGGTGTTTCTCTCTGTGTCAGAGGGGTGTTCTCTCTGTGACAGAGGGGTGTTCTCTCTGTGTGACAGAGGGGTGTTCTCTCTGTGTGACGAGGGGTGTTCTCTGTGTGTCAGAGGGGTGTTCTCTCTGTGTCAGAGGGGTGTTCTCTCTGTGTCAGAGGGGTGTTCTCTCTGTGTCAGAGGGGGTGTTCTCTCTGTGTTGACAGAGGGGTGTTCTCTCTGTGTCAGAGGGGTGTTCTCTCTGTGTCAGAGGGGTGTTCTCTCTGTGACAGAGGGTGTTCTCTCTGTGTCAGAGGGGTGTTCTCTCTGTGACAGAGGGGTGTTCTTCTCTGTGAGAGGGGTGTTCTCTCTGTGTGACAGAGGGGTGTTCTCTCTGTGTCAGAGGGGTGTTCTCTCTGTGTGACAGAGGGGTGTTCTCTCTGTGTGTCAGAGGGGTGTTCTCTCTGTGTCAGAGGGGTGTTTCTCTCTGTGTGACAGAGGGGTGTTCTCTCTGTGGACAGAGGGTGTTCTCTCTGTGTCAGAGGGGTGTTCTCTGTGTGACAGAGGGGTGTTCTCTCTGTGTCAGAGGGGTGTTCTCTGTGTGACAGAGGGGTGTTCTCTCTGTGTGTCAGAGGGGTGTTCCTCTCTGTGTGACAGAGGGGTGTTCTCTCTGTGTGTGACAGAGGGGTGTTCTCTCTGTGTGACAGAGGGGTGTTCTTCTCTGTGACAGAGGGGTGTTCTCTCTGTGTGACAGAGGGGTGTTTCTCTGTGGAGGGGTGTTCTCTCTGTGACAGAGGGGTGTTCTCTGTGTGACAGAGGGGTGTTCTCTCTGTGTGACAGAGGGGTGTTCTCTCTGTGTGAGGGTGTTTCTCTCTGTGTCAGAGGGGTGTTCTCTCTGTGTGTCAGAGGGGTGTTCTCTCTGTGTCAGAGGGGTGTTCTCTCTGTGTCAGACAGAGGGGTGTTCTCTCTGTGTGACAGAGGGTGTTCTCTCTGTGTGACAGAGGGGTGTTCTCTCTGTGTGACAGAGGGGTGTTCTCTCTGTGTGACAGAGGGGTGTTCTCTGTGTGACAGAGGGGTGTTTCTCTGTGTGTCAAGAGGGGTGTTCTCTCTGTGTGACAGAGGGGTGTTCTCTCTGTGTGACAGAGGGGTGTTCTCTCTGTGACAGAGGGGTGTTCTCTCTGTGTGACAGAGGGGTGTTCTCTCTGTGTGACAGAGGGTGTTCTCTCTGTGTGACAGAGGGGTGTTCTCTCTGTGTGACAGAGGGTGTTCTCTCTGTGTGTCAGAGGGGTGTTCTCTCTGTGTCAGAGGGGTGTTCTCTCTGTGACAGAGGGGTGTTCTCTCTGTGTGACAGAGGGGTGTTCTGTGTTTTCACACATTATACGTGTGCAGGTCGAACACACAGACACACGTTTATGTGAATGACACATATTGTGTGTCTTAGTGTTTTGTGGGAATGAGTTGGCGGTGACAGACACACATCAGAGTATCAGGGTTTTCACACAGTCCCCATCACACTGTACTCACATACACACTAGTGTGAACGAACCACTCACATACACACTAGTGTGAACGGGGCCTTTAGATTTTTTATAACATAAACCATCAGCGAAAGAAATCGACTCAACAACTTTGAAGTGTTTATATTTATACTCCACACTGGATCAGTCCTGTTATAGTCCTGGTCTGGTCCTGGTCTAGTCCTGGTCTGGTCCTGGTTCAGTCCTGTTATAGTCCTGGTCTGGTCCTGGTTCAGACCTGTTATAGTCCTGGTTTAGTCCTGGTCTGGTCCTGGTTCAGACCTGTTATAGTCCTGGTCTAGTCCTGGTCTGGTCCTGGTTCAGACCTGTTATAGTCCTGGTCTAGTCCTGGTCTGGTCCTGGTTCAGACCTGTTATAGTCCTGGTTTAGTCCTGGTCTGGTCCTGGTTCAGACCTGTTATAGTCCTGGTCCTGGTCTGATCCTGGTTCAGTCCTGTACTGGTCCTGGTCTGGTCCTGGTCTAGTCCTAGTCTAGTCCTGGTTCAGTCCTGTACTGGTCCTGGTCTGGTCCTGGTTCAGACCTGTTATAGTCCTGGTCTAGTCCTGGTCTGGTCCTGGTTCAGACCTGTTATAGTCCTGGTTTAGTCCTGGTCTGGTCCTGGTTCAGACCTGTTATAGTCCTGGTTTAGTCCTGGTCTGGTCCTGGTTCAGACCTGTCTCGGGGCTCCAGCTCAGGACTTCGTGGTGTCCCTGGTTCTGGACGTAGAAGACCCGGTCGGCGTCTCTGGTGAGGGCGCAGTGGGCGGAGCCTGTGGGGATGTGGGCGGGGGGTTTGTGGCGCGTGTCGTATCGGAGCGTCCAGAGTTTGACGGCGGTGGACGAGGACGAGGCGGAGACGACCAGGTCCGACAGGAGCGACAGGGACGAGACCGGAGAGTCCAGACCACAGAGCGAGTCCAGGAGAGCGCCGGTGGTGATGGACCAAACCTGAGGACCACACCGGGACACACAAGACTTTTATTATTATTTTTACACAGTTTTATTCAATTTTGTTTTCATAGTTTTTTTATTTTTAATTTTTTAATTTATTTTATTTTATTTTTATTGTATTTAATATTTTATTTAATTTTTTAATATTTTCAAATTTATGTTCAGGAATATAAATTAAAACCTGAAATATAAAGTAATTAAAAATAATGAAATTCAAATTAATAATATAAACCTGCTAAATGAATATGATAAAAAAATAAATAAATAAAATAAAAATTTTAAAGTTTAAGAGAAGAGAGAAATGTCCATTTGGCAAAAGAGCTTTAAGTGTAGAACCCGAGAGCTGGCGGTGAGGGGGGGACAGAACCCGAGAGCTGGCGGTGAGGAGTAATAGAACCTGGGAGCTGGCAGTGAGGGGGCAGGAGCTGGCGGTGAGGGGTAATAGAACCTGAGAGCTGGCGGTGAGGGGGCAGGAGCTGGCGGTGAGGGGGTAATAGAACCTGAGAGCTGGCGGTGAGGGGGCAGGAGCTGGCGGTGAGGGGGTAATAGAACCTGAGAGCTGGCGGTGAGGGGGCAGGAGCTGGCGGTGAGGGGGTAATAGAACCTGGGAGCTGGCGGTGAGGGGGTAATAGAACCTGAGAGCTGGCGGTGAGGGGGCAGGAGCTGGCGGTGAGGGGGTAATAGAACCTGAGAACTGGCGGTGAGGGGTAATAGAACCTGAGAACTGGCGGTGAGGGGTAACAGAACCTGAGAGCTGGTGGTGAGGGGTAATAGAACCTGAGAGCTGGCGGTGAGGGGGCAGGAGCTGGCGGTGAGGGGCAGGACTCACCCGGATGACCTGGTCCTTGGCGCCGCTGTAGAGGATCCTGGAGTCTGGGGAGACACACGCCGACAGAACCTCGTCATCATGAACCAGCTCCAAGAACCGATCCACACGGTCCAGGTCCAGACGGAACAGGACCAGAACCAGGTCCGAGCCTAGAGACAGAACAGGGACTGAAACAGAACCGGACCAGGACCAGACCAGGACTAGACCAGGACTGAACCAGGACTTGTGTGGTACCTGCCAGGAGGATCTTCTCGTCCTTGGACACAGAGAAGAGAGAAGGAGTCAGAGGAAACTTCACGGAGCTGTAGCCTCCGTCTTTGGAAATCTGAAAAACACCAAACAGGATTTACACAAGATTTAAAGCTCCACTGAGGGACATTTCACACATTAGAACAGTTTAGCAGAACACGTTTTATTCATTTATTTATTTATTTATTGCTGTTCTGTGGTTTTGCTGTTATTTTATTTGAGTGTTTATTTTATCATTATATTTCACAGGAAAAAGTGAAGCATTAAAATTAACTCTGACAAAATCAATTTTAACATTTTCTCAGTGTTTCTCTGAGTCACTCTGTTCTAGAGTTAATTTAACATATGTGTAAAAGTTCATGAAGTAAAACTGGACCAAAGTTCCTGTTTAACTCCAAATCCAGAGTTAAATTCACGTTCTGAGAGTAAACAGATAACACTTTGTAGAGTTATCCTGATTTAACTCAACAACACACAGAGGTGTTTTATTTTGACACTTTATTTGAGTTAATTTAGGATAAAATTATGAACAAAACTGGTTCAAACTGGTTCTTCTCTGGTGGGAGTTTGAAGTGGTGGAACGAGCCAAATTAACACTAAGAGAAGTTGAATTAACTTCAACCAAATCAACTCTGGCAAATCACCCCAACTCCAACTCACATTTAACTTTCAAAGAGTTAAAATTACACTTTTTGGGTTAAAAACAACTCTGAAATATTTCACCCTGAAATTTTAACCCTGCAATCTTCGTTGTGTAGAAATAAAGTGGACCAGATTAATAATTTAGTCATTTCCTTAAATAATTCAAGTGTAAATGGTTTAAGTTTGTTTTAACTCTGAGGGTGTAAACACCTGGTAAAGGACTCCTTCACTGAAAACCACCAGGACCTTCTGCTTCCGGCTCAGAGCCACAGACGAGCAGACGGTCAGAGTCCTGCCCGGGGCCTGGGGACGCTCCGGGTTCTTGGTCTTGTCTTGGGTCTTGTCCTGGGTCTGGTCCGCCCTCTGGTCTGGTCCCTGGTCCTGGGTCGGTTCTTGGTTCTGATCCTGGTTCTCGGCCCGGTTTCGATCCTGGAGCCGGACTGTGACGGGGTCTTTGGTCGGGTCCAGGGCCTGGGTGATCCGGACTAAACCGGGTCCACACAGAGAGACCACAGAGTCGTCCAGAACCCCGAGGATCTGACAGTCTGAGTCCGAGATCGAGGACAAGAGCGAGAAGTCGTCCAGACCGAAGAACTTCACCTGGAGAAAAAACAGGAGAGACGTTCAGAGTCTGGAGGGACGGGGAGGTTTGAAATACGACCTCTGACCTCTGACCTCTGACCTCTGTGGATCGTTCTGTTCTAACTGTGACGATTTAAATCTCAAAACTGATTTGATCTGAAACACGTTCATAAAAAAACTCGAGCTCTGACTTGGTCGTTAGAAAAACTGTTCAGTCCAATGGAGCTGATTTTGAATTTTAAATATCGCTGAATTTCTCACTTTGAATTTTTTAAATATGAAAAAAACATGTTTGAATTATTTTTATTCTGAATTTGAGTTGCTGAAATTTTAAGTTCACTTTTTCATATCTGTAGAAAAATTTCACCTTTTAAATATTCAGCAGAGAAATTTACAAAACCTCAGATTAAACAGTCGAAGTTCAAAGTGTCAAATCAGCGCCCCCTAGAGAAATTGTATGGAACAATTAAATTTTATTTTGTCGTAGACGTACATAATTTGGTGCACACATTCGGGACATGGTCACGATGAAAAAAGCCATCGTGTTACCATGGCAACAGGCCAAAAATCTGTTATTGTCAAAGAGACGTCCTGGCAAAAACTTTGACGTACTCAAACCAACTTTGGTGCACAGATGCATCATGGGAAAAGGAACAAAAAAGTATATTATGACCACGCCCCCTCGCGAAACAGAAGTCCGCCATTTTGGATTAGTCGTGTGACAAATGTCATAATGTCGTCACACGTAGACGTCGAATTCTGTCACATTTTTATTTATGAAACTTTTAAAACAGACACAACCTCAAATGTGGCACAACTTCAAAAAAGACGTGATAGCGCCCCCAACTGGATCAACGTGTAGCCACACATGAAAGTTATAATGGACGAAATAACGATGCACAAAAAGAGAATAATCTGTGCATGACAGCGAAGCACCACAGCCCAACGGGACCAGAAAAAAAAGGGGAGGCGGTGAGCAAGGGCCGATCATTGCCGCTTGCAGCTCTATTCGTTGTGGTTGCCGTGGTTACCTGCGTGTCGGTGCGGTTGCCGTGGTTACCTGCGTGTCGGTGCGGTTGTCGTGGTTACCTGCGTGTCGGTGCGGTTGTCGTGGTTACCTGCGTGTGGGTGCGGTTGCCGTGGTTACCTGCGTGTCGGTGCGGTTGTCGTGGTTACCTGCGTGTCGGTGCGGTTGTCGTGGTTACCTGCGTGTGGGTGTGGTTGCCGTGGTTACCTGCGTGTCGGTGTGCACGGTCAGTCGGCCCGTCCTCTCGCACGCGCTCAGTCGGACGCAGCCGCAGTCGGTCGCCAACACGTCGTCCGCGCTCACTTCCTGTTTCCCCCGAAGCAAATCCCACTTCCTCATCGAACCGTCAGCGGCCAATGAGACGCAGAGGGCGGAGCCAGTCACACGCACCACCAGAACGGCCGCTACGGAGAAAAACCACGACTGAGCCAGGACTAAACCAGGACTAAACCAGGACTAAACCAGAACTAAACCAGGTCTAAACCAGGACTAAACCAGAACTAAATCAGGTCTAAACCAGGACTAGACCAGGTCTAAACCAGAACTAAACCAGGACTAAACCAGAACTAAACCAGGTCTAAACCAGAACTAAACCAGAACTAAACCAGGACTAAACCAGGTCTGAACCAGAACTAAACCAGGACTAAACCAGGACTAAACCAGAACTAAACCAGGACTAAACCAGGTCTAAACCAGGACTAAACCAGAACTAAACCAGGACTAAACCAGGTCTAAACCAGAACTAAACCAGGACTAAACCAGGTCTAAAACCAGGTCTAAACCAGAACTGAACCAGGACTAAACCAGGACTGAACCAGGACTAAATCAGGTCTAAACCAGGACTAGACCAGGTCTAAACCAGAACTAAACCAGGACTAAACCAGAACTAAACCAGGTCTAAACCAGAACTAAACCAGAACTAAACCAGGACTAAACCAGGTCTGAACCAGAACTAAACCAGGACTAAAAAAGGACTAAACCAGAACTAAACCAGGACTAAACCAGGTCTAAACCAGGACTAAACCAGGTCTAAACCAGAACTAAACCAGGACTAAACCAGGTCTAAACCAGGTCTAAACCAGAACTGAACCAGGACTGAACCAGGACTAAACCAGGACTAAACCAGGACTGAACCAGGACTAAACCAGGACTGAACCGGGTCTGGACCAGGTGTGTTACCTGTGTGTGCGAGGAGTGTGTGTAGTAGTTGTGCGTCTGGGAGGCTCCAGACTCCGATGACGCCGTCGTCTGAACCAGCGACGACCAAATCCTCCTCCACACACACATCTACACACAGAACACCTGCAGGGACACAACAGCTGAAAGAACACACAACACACAACACACACACATCTACACACAGAACACCTGCAGGGACACAACAGCTGAAAGAACACACAACACACACACACATCTACACACAGAACACCTGCAGGGACACAACAGCTGAAAGAACACACAACACACACACACACACACATCTACACACAGAACACCTGCAGGGACACAACAGCTGAAAGAACACACAACACACACACACACACACACATCTACACACAGAACACCTGCAGGGACACAACAGCTGAAAGAACACACAACACACACACACATCTACACACAGAACACCTGCAGGGACACAACAGCTGAAAGAACACACAACACACACACACACACACACATCTACACACAGAACACCTGCAGGGACACAACAGCTGAAAGAACACACAACACACAACACACACACAACACCTGCAGGGACACAACAGCTGAAAGAACACACAACACACACACACATCTACACACAGAACACCTGCAGGGACACAACAGCTGAAAGAACACACAACACACACACACATCTACACACAGAACACCTGCAGGGACACAACAGCTGAAAGAACACACAACACACACACACACACACATCTACACACAGAACACCTGCAGGGACACAACAGCTGAAAGAACACACAACACACACACACACACACACACACACACTCACACAACACATACACACAGAACACCTGCAGGGACACAACAGCTGAAAGAACACACAACACACACACACATCTACACACAGAACACCTGCAGGGACACAACAGCTGAAAGAACACACAACACACACACACACACACATCTACACACAGAACACCTGCAGGGACACAACAGCTGAAAGAACACACAACACACACACACACATCTACACACAGAACACCTGCAGGGACACAACAGCTGAAAGAACACAACAACAACACAACACACACATCTACACACAGAACACCTGCAGGGACACAACAGCTGAAAGAACACACAACACACAACACACACACATCTACACACAGAACACCTGCAGGGACACAACAGCTGAAAGAACACACAACACACACACATCTACACACAGAACACCTGCAGGGACACAACAGCTGAAAGAACACACAACACACACACACATCTACACACAGAACACCTGCAGGGACACAACAGCTGAAAGAACACACAACACACACACACATCTACACACAGAACACCTGCAGGGACACAACAGCTGAAAGAACACACAACACACACACACATCTACACACAGAACACCTGCAGGGACACAACAGCTGAAAGAACACACAACACACACACACATCTACACACAGAACACCTGCAGGGACACAACAGCTGAAAGAACACACAACACACACACACACACATCTACACACAGAACACCTGCAGGGACACAACAGCTGAAAGAACACACAACACACACACACACACATCTACACACAGAACACCTGCAGGGACACAACAGCTGAAAGAACACACAACACACACACACACACATCTACACACAGAACACCTGCAGGGACACAACAGCTGAAAGAACACACAACAACACACACACACATCTACACACAGAACACCTGCAGGGACACAACAGCTGAAAGAACACACAACACACACACACATCTACACACAGAACACCTGCAGGGACACAACAGCTGAAAGAACACACAACACACAACACACACAGAACACCTGCAGGGACACAACAGCTGAAAGAACACACAACACACACACATCTACACACAGAACACCTGCAGGGACACAACAGCTGAAAGAACACACAACACACACACACATCTACACACAGAAGAACACCTGCAGGGACACAACAGCTGAAAGAACACACAACACACACACACACATCTACACACAGAAACACCTGCAGGGACACAACAGCTGAAAGAACACACAACACACACACACACATCTACACACAGAACACCTGCAGGGACACAACAGCTGAAAGAACACACAACACACACACACACACATCTACACACAGAACACCTGCAGGGACACAACAGCTGAAAGAACACACACACACACACACACACATCACACACAGAACACCTGCAGGGACACAACAGCTGAAAGAACACACAACACACACACACACATCTACACACAGAACACCTGCAGGGACACAAACAGCTGAAAGAACACACAACACACACACACACATCTACACACAGAACACCTGCAGGGACACAACAGCTGAAAGAACACACAACACACACACACATCTACACACAGAACACCTGCAGGGACACAACAGCTGAAAGAACACACACACAACACACACACATCTACACACAGAAACACCTGCAGGGACACAACAGCTGAAAGAACACACAACACACACACACATCTACACACAGAACACCTGCAGGGACACAACAGCTGAAAGAACACACAACACACACACACATCTACACACAGAACACCTGCAGGGACA